TTCTCTCCCATACTCTGACTATGTTCTCATTTGTAGCCTTAATATTTAGCTTTTAGCGTGCCTTATCCTCCAGTAAGCATTTAAGAAAGAGCAAGATACCTAAAGTGTATTCGTTACTGATATTCTTTTACTAGTGATGGCTATTCTCAGACTTTTCTATGTTGCTTTTCTTGAAGAATTTCCCATGAAGCATGTGAATGTCCAGCCTTATACCCTTCTTGGCACAAATGTGAGTCTTATTTATTTACTCAGAGAGAATACGCAAAAAGATGTTCTTTTTAAGGTGGGGACAGAAGGGAAAAGATTGAATAAAGAAATATCAATATGAAGAAGTGCAGCTATTTCCTGAACATCTCTAATCTATTATTCAAAAAAAGAGCTTCTTGCAGGTTGACATGACTGGGACACAAGTAAAAGGAGACACTTCAGAAACAAATGAAGGGAAGAACTTAAACTGTGATAGTCTGTCACTGAGGTCTTTGACAGCAGAAGGAAACAAGCTATCAAGATTATCATCAGGCAAGAAATTGGTGTAACTGTAGAAAACATCTCGGATTGCCTCACTACTACTCATGCCTGACTGACAACAGCATCTTCACTGAAAGAGATGTCTTAGCTTTTGTGGTAGTTTGGGCTAGGCCTTCGTTGGTGACCAGTTTGTAACCAAGGAAGGGTCTAGATTTACCCAGTATTCCCTACGATTTTTACGTAAGCCAGACTATAAGAAGAAAGGAGGAAAGGCCTTCGCCCTCTTTCCTTCCGGCGGCTTGGAGGTGCAGGTTCCCTGCTGTTGAGTCTGTTGTGTTGGGGAGCGAGGCCTGGTAAGGCCTTGTCGACCTTGGGAGGCGGAGGTTGCCGGTGATCGTTCCAGAGCGACTCTCGGTTGTCCCAAGGAGAGTGGTGGAATATTTCTTTGCTAACTCTTTTAGTGAATAGATGTTGGACTACTAATTGGGATATATATATATATTTTATTTTGGTTTTGTTCCTTTTCCCTTCCCCCTTCCCTTTCCCTTGTGAAATTGTATATATTTCTATTGTATATAATTGTAACGTAAGTGTAAATATATTTATATATATCACTTTAGCTGTCTCTCTCTCATTTCGGGTTTTCTTAATTGTTTTTTCTCCCTCTTCTCCCTGAGGTTTGGGGGGGGGGATGGGACACTTCTTATGGTAAGGTTTGGAGACTTGGCAGGGAGCCAGCTTCAAACCATATCAGCTTTAAGGAAACTACAGTGTTTAGCAGCCACAGACAATCTGCCCAGATCACTTAACTGAAATGCCAGTGAAGCCATTTAACAGAGAAAGATGTTCGAGGACCTAGTGATCCAATCAGTTAATGCTCTCCATTTATTTCCTAGCTACAGCTGCAGAATTTTTTCCTACCTTGAGCCTCTCTCCTTTGATCATTACTGACCTTCTATACGTTAGCTTCAATATATTCATGGCTAGTCTATGCTTCTTGGATTTATCATGTTCTATCTTTAATATCTTCAAAGCAAAATTGTTTTCAAGACCTCATTTGTTTCCATGATAAGGAAAGGAAAGACAAGCTACCGAGCCTCCTTGAAGACCAGGTCATTTATTTCTGTGTTATATCTATGTTCATCTTCCATCTCTTCTTTTGTTCACACATAAGCAAACCTCTTTCTTCAAAATGTCTTAATTATGAAAATGAAAGACAAAGAATTGATTTAAATTATAAAAATTATATTAAATTAATATAAATTGATTTAAATTTATTAAATTTAAATTTGATATATCACAAATGCCTCTTTCTAAAATTGTCACTGGGACAAATCACTGAGAGGAGAAAAACCAAATAATTTAGAGACAGAAACTATAAAAAAGGAAAAGTTTAATAAATGGGCAAGTAGATTTTTTTAATAAAAAAAATAAATCCCAAACAAAGAAAATTTAAAAGACTCTGGGTATTTAGATAGATAGACAAGTAATGTTTTCTGGTTGGTGTAATATATAGTAAGTAATGTGTCATTTTGGCTTAGCCAGTGAACTAAAAAATTTGAAATCTGTTGGGAAATATAAGAGATGAAGCTATGTAAATCAGTTGTGAAAGAAAAACCTTTTAAATTTTGCTATTAAGATAACACAATACTTGAATCTGAACTATGTTATGGAGTTTGTTATTGAAATCTCCTTATTAATTAACCTTCTGCTAGTGTTGTTCCTTTAGTACATCATCAAAAACACTACAATTTTATTTTCATCTTACTCAATAGTATTACCACAGTGAGCAATATACACAGTTTATGCTTTTAATTTTTACTTTCATTTAGTGTGAAATGCATGGTTCTTTGTAGAATTGTAGAATATTCTGCACAAAATATGATATTTTCAGGCTGTTATGCAGAAGTCTGATAATTATGAGCATCTATATTTTTACAAAAATGTTAGATACTCTTGGGACAAATGCTCAGTATTTCCTGAAAATGCAACTCCTTTAAGGTCACCAAATTCACTAGGAAGGGTATAGAATGCTATTGAGAAGCATTAGTAAAACCTATGTGTATCCAAAGGACATGATTTAGAGATTAGAGGATCATAAACAGTGTTCTTAGCCTATGAGATGAAGATGTATCAGCATTTCCTATTCAGTGTATGTATAAGCAATAACACACAGGGAAATCAGCAGCAACAGGAATAGCCAGTAAGAGAGACTTAACCTGGGCACACAGCCAGATCTAGGAACTAGGAAGTGCTTAGCTGAATTTCCTCCCGCTCATTTGTCAGACATGAGAATCTGCTGTACAAATACTTTAAACAGAACTTGCATTGTGTTTTAGTTCTTATGGGTTGTCACTGAGATGTAACACTTGTGGGTTTGTTGAGATTATTGTTCAAAATATAGGAAATTACACTTCAATGTGTTTGGAGTGTTTCTGTATCAAGCATGGAATGAGTTTTGGTATCTAGTAAAACTAGTGTTGCCTAAAGGCAAACAGAGTGAAGAGATGAAAGCACAAACATGTCTGAATTAGGTTCCATTTGATGTGCTTTCTAGACTACAAGCAGTTGTTTTCATTGCAAACTACTCTTTACGAAATCAGTCACCCTCACTGTCTTATCTTTACCTTTCTAGAGTGTTAAAGTAATACACCAATGTTGTATCAGTGAATGTTATGACTTGTTGACTTCAATACTATCTTGTTCAGCACAAGGTGACACTAATTATATTGCATAATAAATCACCACCATCTACAACAGACAGTGACTACGTAAATACTGAAACTATTGCTGATACTGTTACTATTCAGGAAATTCATTGGTGGCAAAGAAATTCTGTCTTCAAGAACTCTCTTAGACATTACAGGTCCAATGTTTTAATCATTTCAATTCCAAGAATTAGTTTTGCTTGGGATACCAAGTTCGTCTGTATTATTATTTTACTCTGGATTCTTACCTGGAGTGAAAACTACTGCCTGAGACAGTGATTATAAACCAACAACCTGCAAGTTTACATACTTACATCTTCTTCCCATGTCCTTAATGTCCCTAAGAAGTAAGTTTCTGTCTTTCTTTCTTTCTTTCTCTTTCCTTCTTTCCTTCTTTCCTTCTTTCTTTGCTTCTTTCTTTCTTGCTTGCTTCCTTTCTTTCTTTCTTCCTTTCCTCATTTCTTTCTTCCTTTCTTTCTTTCCCTCTTTTTCTTTTTTTCTTTCTTTCTCTTTCTTTCCTTCTGTCTTTCTTTCTCTTTCTTTCGTTCTTTCTTTCTTTCTCTCTCTTTCTATTTTTCTTTCTTTCTTTTCTTTTTTCTTTTTCTTTCCTTCTTTCTTTTCTTTCTTTTTTCTTTCTTTCTTTCCTTTCTCTTTCTTTCTCTCTTTCTCTCTCTTTCTCTCCTTCTTTCTTTCTCTCCTTCTTTCTTTCTCCCCTTCTTCTTTTCTTTCCTCCCTTTTTTCCTTCCCTTCAAACCTTCCCAAACCCTCCCTCACCAAACCTTCCCTTCCCAAACCTTCTTTCCCTTTCTTTCCTTTTTTTCTTTCACTGGTAGTTTTAAAAAGAGTGGTGGTGGTTGGCTATATTATTTCATTATGGCCTAGGGATTAGGGCACGTGTGGAGGTGAGTCATGTTTTCTCACTGCTGTAAACACTTGGTTATTGCATTTGGGATAGGAACCAACACTTCCCTCTTTCTTTCAAGTGTTTAAAATGAGGAGTTCCTGTCAGTAGTCCCATGAAGACATCACTCCAAATAATGCACTGAGGTATGGGTTTACTATCCACAGAGGTATAAATATGCTCAGGAATTTCTCTGTCTTGCTAATGGACGCTCCCAATGGAGATTCCCCAGGGGGTTGGAGCCCATTTGAAGGTGTTCAAGAACCCTGGCTGTGCAGGATATGAACCCTAAGCATGAACCCTCAGCAGTGTTGATCCATGGGCAATCTGAGCCCACTTGGTTCATGCTGCTCCCAAAAGTCAGCACCATAAGCTTCTTCCGCTCCCCAGGCACCATGTGCCCTGGTACTGAGGGTGTCAAGCACACTTAGTGCTTTGCCTCATGCTCAAAATCAAACTCACACCAAAAATGCCCATCTCTAGTGCAAAGACTGCCCATCTGTGGTTACTTTTCCTTGTGCATCTGTCCTACCCAGAGCTGCTTGAAATCTTGTTAGACAGGTCTTTCGTCACATCTATCCTCAATATCTGCACGTGTAATAGACTCCACCACAAGCCTGACACTTGTTTTAAGGGCCAAAAGTCACACTCTAGCTGGAAAAGGTTTTGACACAAGTGTGTCAGATGGCCTTTAAAGGAGCTTCCAGGATTTCTGTGGTGGAGAAAAACACAAAACGTATCTCTTCTGACTGTCAGTCATATTTGTCCACGCATCCATACTCCCTCTCATCTTAGCACAGAAATGGCATAAAAAACAGAGCAGTGACCCAGACAACATACTTGTATCCAATAATATGTGTAAAAATCTGTTTACATTTTTTCTTTTCTGTTATAAAGGTTGAAATCTGTTAATGAGCACTCACATTTTCTGTTATCCTTGACTGAAATGTCAAAATGTTCAGTAGATCTTCTCAGACTGGAAATAAGGAAAGAGGATATTTAATTCATCTAGTTAGCTATAATATATAATATTCACATACGCTAATAAATAATCTGTGGAAGATTTTCAATCATGTTTGCCCATTAAGTATAGAATTGTTATAACTCACACTGAAAGTACTTTCTCGTGTCTCTTAATGAAGGCATACCAGTTTTTCTCTGTAAATGACAGCCATCTCATCGAATAATAGTAACCAAAAAAATTGTGTAGTTATACTGATTTCCTTCTTTGTCACAGAAGCATGAGAAGTAATGAAATATTCGTTATTGAGGAGTGTTAAACCAAAACTACATTAAACGACCTGTGAAGCCCCTGGCTTACTGTGGTACAGTCCCATTACAAGCAAGTTAGTTTAGCTGGCTTCAGCACAGGACAGAAGAAATGCTTTGACCCAAGTTCCTGACTTCTTTGCCAGAAATGAAACTCTGGTTTGTGTGCTTTTATAAATAACAACAGTGTAAGAGGTTAGGCCAACAATAAAGCAGAAGAGAAGTAATAAGGAAAAAGTATGTACTGAATACAAATGTAATTTCTGAAGGGATAATTGTCATTACTGGTTAAGTCAGTATATCTTCTTTCCTCCATGCAACTGTTTGGCTTTTTCCCCTCGACACACAATTTGCTCATTACTGTAGAGTTCCAGCAGAATCAGCAGCTTTAAAGTAAAGCATATTTTCTGTTCTTTTTAATCTTACCCTGAGGAACAATCCACATGGAAGCTTAGCTGACTTTGCAGGAGATCAAGAAGCAATGAAAAGCATATTTGCCTAGAAGAACCTCTGGCTTAAAAATTGGTGTGACACAGGTGCCTATACTACTGTTATTCTTAAGGGATTATGCAACCTTTAAAATCAGGAGCTGGATAAATACTTTTAGCTGACAGCTAAATGTAAAGGAATTTTAGAATTTTATCAGTAGCTATAAGGAAGATGAACTGTTTATGTGAAGTCATTATATACTCACTAGGGAAACACAAAGGAATTGGGATGCCAACAGTTTTGGGCAGCGTGATAAACACTGCAGAGATAGAAAGAAAAATTCTTGTCTGAAACATTTTCCTTTTCCCAATCAAAAATTTATGGGATGGTTTGTTTTAATAGGAAGTCTTGACTTATGGTATATTTTGATTAGGAATTATTTGCATATTTTAATGGGACAATAAATAATTGCTTTATGTAGAAAGCTTACAGATTTTTTTGTACAGATTTCTTTTACTTCTTCCTGATGTACATAACACTTCTAGCTAGTGTGTTCCCATTGAAGACACAGATGAGACAGAGGGAGACACAGTTAACGGGATACTCATTATGCGTTGCTAAAATCTGAAAGTTCTTTTTACACTGTAGAAATGAGTGGGACCTATGTTGACACAAACTCACTGAAAGCAAGCAATGCTCTCCTTAATGGTGAGAAATCCAATAATAAACATATAGAGTCCTGTGGGGCAAAAACTGTTCCAGTGTTTGCAGTTAGATCTTGATCCTTACATTCTACAAGTTAAACTGTGCTAGAAAAAGACGGAATACTCTTCAATAGTGTTTCTCACTTGCGCTGATGTAGAAATCCATGTATTTGGAATAGCATGCAGTACTATGGGATAGTTATAAGAGAAACCTTGGAAATCATAAATTTAAAAGCTTTACTACTGCAGACTTCAAAGTCCATTTGGTTGGATGCCTGAATATCAACTTGTACCTAAAAGCAACAGCTTTGTATTATGTGGTTACTTTGGGTAATGGAGGCCTGAACCCAACAGCCTGGGGTTGCTCTTGATTTAGTACTAGTTTTGAAGTAGAAAAGTCATTTATCTTCTGATTATTCTGCCAGTTCTTCTTTCTGGAGCCAGCAGTTGTAGAAAATGGTAGTCCAAACATTTTCCATCACCATATTCTAAGAACTGACTCAGCTGGAAAAGACCTGGCATGGGAAGTTCATAAATCTCATGTGAATTAGATTTTTCAAATACATTCAATATAAATACTTAATTTCTGATTCTTCTTTGATAGACACATATTTAGTAGAAAGTTTCTCCTTATTTGGAATTTTTTGTGTTTTAAACTGTTACATGTTCTCTTTTTTTTTTTTTTTCTGAATACTTCATTTAAATAATAAATCCAAAGCCAGACAGTAGAATTTTCCTTTGGTTTTAAGTTTCCAATAACCAAGTGAAAAATAGATGTCAGGTTTTAAATAATTATTTGATTTATTCTTTTTTTCTTAGCTTTTTTAAAAGTAGTTTTTATGCTATACTACAAAATTAACGTATTTCCAGAAAAAATAATTAAATTGATTAAACTGAAACTAAGCATGATTTTTTTTTCTTTCTTTAGACTAGAGAAAAAGCAGATTTCATTTTGCTGATTAATTTTTCTATGTATTTACATTTGACAGCTGAAAAGGAAAGTTTTAAAATAAGATGTGCACCTCTCCATATCAACATACAGCCTTCCCATTTTCTCTGCATATAAGGAGATGTAACGGTCTTATGGTAAAACCTGATTTAAGACCTTTAAGTAAGTCCTCTTTATTTCCAGTAGTTGTCAAAAGTTCAAATGTTAAGAATTCTTAGGAAATTAATAAAAAAAATAAGAAAAATGTCTATATATGTGCCCACATGTTGAGTACTGAACGGAGACAGAAAATGAAAGAGAAAAGATAGATAAATAAATAATGATGACAAGCCACAAGAAGGGATTTCACTAACAATGAGTGATAAAATGAAGATTTATTCTGGTTAAGTAGATACTGGTTGTATAATTTTTTTCCCAATTTATTAATTTCTCTGGTTTGCTACTTTTGCATGTCTAGGAATTGTATTTTAAAAGAACAATAATTACATACTGATCATTATATTTACTGCTCGATTGCTTCATACTTACCTATTTGCCAAGGGCAAAATTAATGAAACATCTAGTCCAGAAAAACTGTTTTGAATGCTGACATAAGGTAGGGAAAGTGTATCATGCAAGCAACAATCCATAATTTTACTTTCAATTAATCAGGATATGAAGAAAATATTAGGCTGAGACATTGGGAATCTGGGGCTATTCTAAGAAACCAACAAGGAGAAGGAAAGATGCTCTCAGAGTATGAACTTGCACGTCCTCCTAAGTACATTCTCCTCCTGAGATTTGACCTGAGTCACCTGGGCACAGTTTGGGAGGAACAGTTCAGGTTAGGAATTGCTGTGAGTAAATGATGTGAGTCTTGCTCTTCTTTTGAGTGGCAGGACCCTCCAAAGGGTCTTCTCATGTCCTTGTGCCTCTGTTGTAACATGTTTATGTACCAGCAGGAGCACGGACCTGTCCTAATTGTTGCTTGAATTGTAGACAGTATTGCTTATCCCACACAGTCTGCTGCCTGGAAGGACAGTATGCAATTCTGAGAGCAGGCAGAAATAAAAGAAGGTTGTGAAAGCTCCTTTACAGGATGACATACCTTGATGTCAGACTTCCAGTCGAATGCAAAATCCATACACAGTTGCATTTATTTCTCTTAATCCTTTCTGGAAGCTAACAAGCACTTTGTTTTCTGTGACCTGTGAGGGAAAGTTTCATGGAATGTTAAATATCCATAATGTCAGTTTTCCAGATTAAATGTTCCCAATCTAAAGGTTAGGTTCAGACATTAAGATGGAGTGATCACCTGATCTTTTCAGATTGCTAAATATGAGGAAAGGATTAGGTAGAAAAGATAGAAAAGATGTTTCTCCAGTGAGACACAGAGATCTCTTTCTTTTCCCATATATTCATGGCACAGGCATACAACATAATCAAGAGCTTGATGAGTTTCAAGGGATCTAATAAAACATAATTCAATTGTATTACAATAAAAACACTTGAATAAAATAAATAATTCGAATACTACCCATGAATTATCTTCTGTATTTAAACTGAAAAATTACTTTAGAATTTCAGGGAGATTTGACTAGTTAAGTATTTTTTTCCTTGAAAAAGTGTTGTTCATCTGTCAATCTTTAAATTCCTGTGACTTTTCTGCCATTTTGCACAATGAAGCATATAATTAGCACTACCATCAATTTTACAGCTGCTTTTCAGAATTCTTCCATACAATAAAATGTGGGTAAGGAAACAAGAAAAAATCTCTATGAATTAAACAAAAATGGAGGAGCAAGATTTGTAAGGAAAGAACATATACCTTTTCTAGGTTGGCTGAAACAAGAATTCAGATGTTTGAGAGACATGGTGGAATTTAATGAAGAAACTACTAGCCACAGTGGATTTTTTTCTGGATTTTTTTTCTGGATTTTTTTTTCCTCTCTTTCATGTTTGCTACAGGAGGTATAATTTGCTTCAGAAATGTTGCCCTCCTCACATGCTTTGATCTTTACTGTTGCCATAGCGCTACTTCTACAAATAATATGTGATTCCTAGTGCAATTTAGAAAAGCTAAGAAATTAGAGAAAAAACCCCCGTGGTTTGCATGCATCCTTTTTTTATGACTTGACTTATTTGTAAGACATTTAGAAAGACTCCTTTAATTCATACTACCTGAGTTTAATCCTGGGTTTCCTGTTGCACCAATGCAGTTGTAGTTGACTCTGGAATTTATAATTATTAATGTTCCCATTCCTGATAACTTATTAAGTCTTGACTTTCATTGTCATGCCTTAATTGCTGGTTTGTTCATGATGGCAACAGAAGTAGTTTTGATTACGAAATCAAAAACTGTATTGTTTCTTAAGTTGTCAAATTTCTCTGTAATATCTTATTTATTTTTTTACTTGCTCTACTTTAAAGTAAATACTACACTATAAATAGTGGTGCTTTAATAATTAGTTATCACAAAAATCTGTAACAGTAGTTTAGCAACTGCTTATATAAGAAGTCTGAATTGTAGTCTAAATCTGTGGTGAAATTCCTCACTTTCATGAATAATATAAGTACACTGTCAGTTAAGGCTGCCTACTTATCAGTAAAATTTTTTGGAAATATTTATACACTGCTTTTTGTTTCAGTAAGATCTTGAAAACTGTTGTAACATCAGACAGACAACCTAGTACATTATCTGTAGTGAAATTTTTTTAAAAGTACATTATTCTAAGAAGCATTGTCATGCTCTGTCAATTTTGTTCTTCTTTCCATAAAACCTTCTCATTTATAGTAGCATGAGAAAGGTAATTTTTATGATTTGTTCTGTATGTATAACAAGTCAGGTTTTATTAGGGTTTGGTGGACCTTCCTTTTTCCCTTTCTGACATTTCTGCAATTGTATATTATGTATAAAAAATGTATTTTCTGATTTTTTCCCAGTATTATTTTTGAAATACAGGTGGCGGTAGGGGGGGTTCTGCAGTACAGCTTCTTTGTAAGCAGGAAGTTACACATTTCTCACAACAGGACATCTGGTATAAGGGAACTTTATTTATTTAATTTTCTTTATTTTAAAAATATGACACACTGTTCAGTGGTCAAACCAGACAGCTCCATGGTTCCCTCAGGCTCTCTTTTGTGCTACGGATGGATATTTCTAAGGCTTCTAGTCTTTGTGGCTGGTAGAAAGACTTCAATCACCAAATACACCAACAATGGCAAGACGGATAGATTGGGAAGTAAGCTGTGTGGTTTCCAGTTATCTAAAAGTCATAGTGATTGGTTCTAAATCAAATCACAACACCTTAGTGCAAGCACAGTTAGTAGCTGCACTACTGGTTGCTGTAGGAAGTGAATTCTGCTGCTCTGAGACAACTAGACAAACCTGAGAACTCTTGAAGCTTACTTTCTCTTATTTGCTCTTTTACTTAGTAAATTGAAACAGCAGGGGATTTTGACTATAATGTAATAAATATACCATAATCTCAGTTTAATTATATACCCATTCAATACACATAGGTTATTTTGGAGGAAAATCTATTAGTTTATTTCCCACTATTTCCTATTTTCAATGCCTTTTCAAAGTTCTCTAAATAAAAAAACTTTAAAAGTCTCTAATTGATCTTTTTGCAAATACAGGTGAAAATAAATCTTATGCCTGAGTACACGGTATTCAAGCTCATTACTCAGATTTCTCCTTTAGCCATTCACTGGGTGGAGCAGACTGATTTCCAAGAAGTCATCTACTAAAGACTCAGTTTGAGGCACGGAATTTTTACATATTTTGCATATCAGACAGGAGAAGAGTCCTTGGCTCTGTTCACACTCTGCATTCTGATATTGTGAACCTCCATTTCCTAATCCTAACGTTGTCCCTATCACTTACACACTGCATTTAATATGTAATAATATCATCATCTTCATAAGTATTAAAATGAAACTCATTATGCTATTTAAGAACTTCTTATAAACATAATCTATAAAATATACAGCTATAGCAAATAAGTTCAGATGTTTCTTCACAATCACTAGAGATCTTTGGAAGTAGCTCCACATCCATTCAAATATTGTGTATACAGAGTACTCTTGTTTCAATCAAAGGCTATCTGAAACTCATTAACTTCTCTTGCAGAACTTTTTGCAAAACATTTTTTTAATATGCCTAAGAATTTGGGGATCAGCCATCTCAAACCTGTTGCCAGTTCTAAATGACTGATTTTTATTGAGCAATATATCAGTTAAAAGATATTAATTGCAAAGATATAAAGTTTTGTTTTTAATCTACAGTTTGATAAAAAAATCTAAGGCTTGTTGAAGAAATACAGGTATCTTCAAAAGAAGAGAATTTGGTATATTAAAGAACTTTTGACTAGGCAGTTAAGTTGAGGACACTGCTGATACAACAAAGACGCGTCTATTTATCACTGGAAGCGGAAAAGCCCTGATTCCACATAAGGAGAGAATGGACTGAGTTTTGAAGACAAAATATTAAATAGACCTGGCCACTATGGAAGACTGTCAAGACAAATCTGACAGTAAACCATAAAAAACTTTCTTAAGAAATAAAAGAGAGAATGTTCAAAGCCTGAACCTCATGGCTAACACCTTGTGAACAAATAATCTTTGCCAAAGGAGAAGATTGAAGTTTTTGAGTGAAATGTATATGTCAGGTCAAGCATAAAGATGATCAAAACAGTTGAGTTGCAAGTGGATAAGGGAACTGAAATACAAGATTTTCAGTATTATAGCTGTTGCTCTTGTGGTAAAAATAGTAGAACAGAACACTAACTACTGCTATTCCTGTGACAACAAAGTCTTTGTAATGGAAAAAGTCTGAAGTAATAGATAAATAAATATTGGTATTTTGATCACTTATGTCTAGGAATTAAAATTAATCTTGATTCTCCCAACAGAATAAATTGTCCCTGAAAGAATAAATTGTCAAGCTTTGTCTTCCCTTGTAAAATATCATAAGAATTAGCAGAGTCTATCATATTATTTAATCGGTTTTAAGAGCATTTGAAACAGAAAATGAAACGCTTCAGGTATACTTTGCTCAAAGGGCTTGACCTCATTGTACTAACAATAAATCAAGAGAAATACCTTTCAGATTATCAGCTGAATTGGTTTTAAGCAACATGAGATCAGAATCATACTTCTGTAATTTAAAGAGGAACCTTTTACACTACATGACACTGGAACAAATTCAGCAATTACCACATGTCAGTACTGTAAGAAAGATAGAAGCAAATTAGAGACTAAAATAAAATATCACAGAAGACATGAAAATATATCCTGAATCAGGTAAAAGAAAAGAAAATAGGAAAATTGATAAAGCAACAGGGAAAATGGATTGTAAGAGAGAAAGAGGAAAAAGAAATCTCAGTAGAGAGAGTGTAAAAGAAAATATTGAAAGAGAGGGATGAATGTGATATAAAATGAATATCAAATTGACCTATGGTCAGATCTAAGCATCAAGGCAGATGTTCGTTATCCACCCACATCTTAAAATCTATCATCAAGGGCATTTGATGCTGTCTCTCCTTGCTACAACCGGTCTGTGATCAAAGAGTTTGCTAGCTCCAAGAGCAAGAGAGAGCCTTTCATCTCCACACTCTCATGTCGTGCTGCCTCTTGTCTTTGCACCAATGGGTGCTGTGCTCAGACACCTGACTTCTCACACCATTCTAATACCATGAATGTCCCTGTCCTAGATAAAAATAATACTAAAATCTTTCCTGTGACAGAATTACTTGGGGTAATGGTCTAGTAGGCAAAAAATCAGAGCACCCTGTTAGTGTGGTTAGAGAGAGAAGAGGGATCAGGGGGAAAAAAAGAGTCTCGAAAATGAGATGGAGAGCAGCACTAGAAGCCCTACGGTCTGTGAAGAGTAGAGGCAGAGGGAGGGGAGATGGAAAGCTTTGCTTGATTTGAATTTTAGAAAATAATTCAGTCTTCTGCATATGAGAATCCCGCACTTATTGATTCACTGACTATACATGCAGAACTCAAAAAATACAAAGATAATTGCTGAACTGGTGAAATGGAGGCAGAGAGAAAGCTAATGATCTCACAGGTGGAGAAATGTAAATGTAGGAAAAAGCACAACAAAGAGACACAGGGTGAAGTTCAAGGACCAGAGGATCAGAGTGCTCTTTGAAAATGATTGTAAAGAAAGATTTTGACAATTACGTAATCCTTGAGT